TTAGTCTAGTTTATTTGGTGTTCACTGTGCTTCTTCAATTTGAATTTCCCCATACTTCAAAATACCTGAGAAGTTTTCTTCTGGTACTTCTTCCATAATTTTCTCAGTGATTTTCTTGTCACTCCCCTGTTCTGGAATTCCAGTCATATGTATATTATTACATTTGATGTCATCCCACCTGATTCTTTTTTAAAAAAATATTTTTTAATTGTCATTTTAACAAAAGTTTACAGAAAAGTTAGATTTTCATTCATTCATTGTTGCTCATTTTACCCCCTCTCCCTCCTTTCCCCCTTCCCAAGCTGTCTTTTTTTCCCCACTAGTTTAAAATTCTAATACAAATTCAAACAAATTCTTGTAATTACCCTCACCCCACACCTCATATTGTACAATCCAATGACTAATCTCCTCTTCCCCTGTACATCCACATCCCTCTGCTTCCAGCCTCTCCCACCCATACTGGATCATTATACTCCTTCCACAATAACAGTCTAATACAATATTTATTCTTGTGGGGCTGAGTTAGTTCACTCAGAATATTGCTCTCCAGTCTCTCCCAAGTTAGATAATAATTTACAAAGTTATTGCTCCTGTGTGCTGCATAGTATTCCATTTTGTGAATGTATCATAATTTCTCAATCCATTCGTTTGTGGTTGGACATCCCACATGATTCTAATGTTTTCTTCATTTTCTTTATGCCTCATCTCTGAATTTTCTTCAAGTATGTTTCTAGTGAGGCTCTTGTCTTCACTGACTCTCTGTTCCATCTCTTCAGTTCTTCTTTTTGTGATACCAGTGTGTTGGACGTTTCTGCCATTTTGGTCTTAATATTCTGTGTAGTACTGTGTAGTACCCTCTTTGTCTTGTGATTATTTTTTTTTCAAGTTCTTATACCTCTTTATCTATACTATCAGTTCTTACATCTTTTGCATTTTCTTCCATAGCTGTTCAAGTTGCTCCTCATCAATATATTTCTTTTGTACTATTGTCTCTGGAGTATTTGCTTTCTTAATTGCTTCTTAAATCATTTGCATTTTTTCTGTACCTGATCAAATAACTCCACATCAACATATTTCTTCTGGTTCTCTCTATCTGGGATATTAACTGGATCTGCTTTTTTAGGAGATGCATTATTTTGGGTTATTTCATGATAACTGAAGCAATCTGATGCTTTCTTGACATATGTGAGTCTTTTCTTAGTATATGTTAAGTCGTTGTAACTATATATGGCAATATTTTGTGAAGGACCTGTGTGTATTTGTGTTTCCTTCTTGGCCGGAGACCCACAGGGCCTAGGGCCAAACAGCGGTGATTCCCACAAAGTGTACCTCAATGGAAAACCAGGTTTTCCCTTTGAGAAGTGGCTCCTCCACCTCCTTGAGCTCCAGCTGTCCCAATCCCTTATGCTTGAGCTTAAGGGGTCCTTAAGGAGGGAATTCCAGGATGTTTAATTGTACTCAGATGAAACCAGAACGTAGACCAAACAGCATTTGTTCAGACAGAATAAGAGGATAATTGTTGTTAGTTGCCATCGAGTCAAATATGACTCATAGTGACCCAATGAACAAAATATCTGAACCCTGTTCTATCCTGCGCTAATCTCATACTTTCTGACATACAGGAGCCCGTTGCAGCAGTTATCTTATCAATCCACCTGATTGATGGTCATCCTCTTCTTTGTCAACCTTCCACTCTTCCCAGCATCATGTCCTTCTCGAAGGAGTAGCCCCTTCTAGCAACATGCCTAAAGTATGTGAGGTGAAGTCTCATTATTCCTTCTTCCAAAGAATACTCTAGCTGGAACTTCTCCAAGATATATCTGTTTGTGCTTTTGGGCATCCATGGGATGTTCAGTACTCTTCTCCAACACCACAGCTCAAAGCATCAATTCTTTTTCTGTCATCCTTATCCACTGTCCAGCTCTCAGATGCATAACTAGTAATTGGAAAGACCATGGCCTGAATCAGATGCACCTTAGTCCTCAAACTGACATATTACTCCTCAATAATTTGAAGAGGTCACTAACTCCAGATTTTCCCAGTATGGATAATACAAGGTTTAATATCAAGAAAGGTGTGCATATCTGAAGACGAATGTGGTGTCAGGATTGAAAGAAGATACATTAACAACCTACAATATGTAGATAACACAACTTTGCTTGTAGAAAATTAAGAAAACTCAAAACACTTACTGAAGATCAAAGCCTTAAATACAGACTGCAATTTAGCATCAATAAAATAAAATTCCTTATATCTGGCCCAGTAGGCAACCTTATGATGTTGTTGTTATATGATTTTAGTCATCTGTGACTTGTAGCAACCCTCTGTCTGAAACTTTCTCTATTTTGTGCTATCTTCACAATCTCTGATATGTTCAAGCCCACTCTTGCAGTCTCACTGTGTCAGTCCATCTGGTTGAGGGTCTTCCTCTCTTTTACTGACCCTCACCTTTTCCAACATGACTTTTTCCAAGGACTCTCCTGATAACATGCTTAAATGTGTGAGCCAAAGTTTCACCATTCTTATCTTTAAAGAGCACCTTGGTTAGACTTCCTTCAAGACAAACTTGCTTATTCTTGTGGCAGTTTGTGGAATATTCAGTAACATCTTGGCAGGTGGAGAAAATATTGAAGTTTTCAATTATTTTATGTTAGCAACAATCAAAAAATCAAAAGATCTGTTGCATTGGGCAAATCTGCTGTTAAGACCTTTTTTTAAAAGTGTTACAAACCAGGACTATCAGTTGAAAATGAACTACAGTTTAGTAGATCCAAGCCGTGTTATATTCCTCTGATTTATGTGCATTTGAAATTTGGACATTGAATAAGGAAGAACGAAGAATTAATGCCTTTCAATTGTAATGCTGGTGAAGAGTATTAAAATAGCATGGACTTTCAAAAGAAAAATCAAGTGTGTCTTGGAGAAAGTACAATCAGGGTGTTTATTGTTGTTATTGTTAGGTACTGTCAAGTTAGCTATGACTCATACTGACTGTGACCCACAGATATGAACCGTAGCCTATCCTAGTACGCTGTAGAGACAAAGTTGTTGAAACTTCATCTCACATAATTTGAGCATGTATGATGTCAGGAGGAGCCAGTCCTTGGAAAAAGACAATATGCTTGGAAAAGTAGAGGATTAGCAAAAGCAAGGAAGACCTCGAATAAGATGTGTTGACACAGTTGTCTCAACAATGGACTTGAGCATGGCAGAGGTTGTGAAGATGGCACAGGATAAAGCAAGGTTTTCATCTATTATTTATAGGGTCACAATAAGGAATTGATGGTACCAAAAACAGCAGACAAAGCAAGGGAACATTGCATGGCTTTAAATCAGGAAAGGTGTAGGGGAAAACTCTTTTCTTTATACTTATTCAATCTATACGTACAACAAATTCTTCAAGGAACTGAACTATATGAAAAAGACTGTGGCATCAAGATCAAAGAAAGACTCATCAACAACCTGACACTATGCAGATGACACAATCTTGCTTACTTAAAGTGAGGAGGATTTGAAAGGTTTATTGCCAAGGTCAATTAAGCCTTCAATATGAGTTAATTCTCAACATCAAGAAAACAAAAGTAATCACCATTGAGCCAATAAGCAATATCATGATAGATGGAGAAGTATTAAAATTTATCAGTGTTTTAATCTTGCTTGGATACACCCTCAACACCCTTAGCACCAAGAGCCATGAGATCAGGAGATATATTGCTTTGGGCAAGTCTGCTATCAGAGACCTCTCAAAAGTTATGTCAGTTTGAAGACTTAAGTTGCACCTGATCCAAACCATGATCTTTTAAATTACTTGCTGTGCACGTGGAAGCTGGACAAGTACTAAGGATGATAGAAGAAGAATTGATGCCTTTGAGTTGTGATGTTGGGGAATTGCTGATGTTAGAGGCTAGATCTTAGTGAAAAGTAGAGAATACTAGAAGGATAGATATCCATTGTTTTATTAACTATGCAAAGGCTTTTTTACTGTATTATGGATCACAACAAATTATGGTTAACATTGAGAAGCAGTACTCCCCTAGAAGGAAATAGTTCTACTACTCAGACAAATAATTTTGTTGTATTATAATAGAATCAAAGAACTGAGTTATTGGAAGTTACATTTTATTTATGTTAATTGTGTTGAGCATTTTAAAATTAATTTTAATGAACATTTACGTAGATTTTGGATTTCCATTCATTCGTTGTTTGCATTTTTCTCCCTGCCCACCACTTCCCCCGGGTTCACTCTTGAAAAGTAAAAGGAAAATTCTTTCATTGGTATATAATCTCCCCCAAGAACACTCCACTATGCAACCTTCATTCTGGACTCTTGTCATAACCATAACACCCAATCATATATCACTTTTAAACTATTCTCTTCCTCATCTGTCTCAATGCAGTGTACATAATTTATCCATTTTTTTCTGTGTTTAGCATTTCAAAGAACTAGAACCTGCTTCCAAATTAGATTTTTCTTTTAGATATAACATGGTATATATAAATACATTTTCTTACAACTATGTTTTTAATTGCTCTCATGGAATTGTCCACTGCTTAATAAAGAAGACCTTTAACTACCTTTAGTCTATAAGACGTCACAATTATACAAAATAACTAAAGTTAAAAAATTGTAGGTATGAACTGCTTAAGAACCATAATATTAATATGCTTTATTTTATTGAACAAAATAGTTACATATTTTTTCTACCACAAAATGTCTTATCATGTAGTAACTTTGTCAGTTAATCATATAAACATCCAGAGAGAGAGGATTTTATTCATTCTGTGGTAGTTTTATCAGATTTAGAAGCTTTGATGCTTAATAAAATAACTATAGTTTTATAATAGTAAAAATGCTAGATTGGTCTAATTTATTGTAATTACTAATATAATATTTCTTATAAGATGTAATCTAAAATATAAAGCATTGCTTTAAAATTACAATTTGAGAAGCTTTTAAGAATAGCAAATGTGTGCTTTAAATTTTATTGCATTTTACTTAGGATGCTTCCAACTGCACTTGATCAGAAAACATTTCTTTTCCCTGTGGATTCTGAGGATAAACTCTGGCAAACCCAAAAACAGCACATCTCAGTTCCACGTACCTTTCCAAGAGCAAAGGTAAGAATGCCAGTGTCTATGAATGCAGAGAAAGGCTGTGTGATTGCAGAGTGTAGGAAGAGGGGTAATGGGAATAACAGCTGATTGGTCCCAGGTTTATTCATGAGATGATTAAAATATTTCAGAATTAAGTAGTGGTGATGGTTACACAAATCTGTTATTGTACTATAAACCACATTGTGTTGTACATGTTAAAAGAGTGAATTTTGGCAAGCTCTGGTGGCCTAGTGGCAAGAAGCTGTACTGCAGTCCCAAAGGTGCACAGTTCGAATCCACCAGATGCTTTGCTAGAGAAGGAGGAACAATTTCCTCCTGTACCAGTCAGATTTGATTTGGTTGTACACACACACACAAATAATAAAATTTAAAAAAATTAAAAGAGTGAGTTTTATGGTACATAAATTACATCTCACTAAAGCTGTTATAAAATTTTTTCTTAAAAAGTTGGAAATTTGTTTCTAAATTAGAAAATGCATTTGAATATACAGTTCGTTTTCTCTAATCTCATATAATTATTGTGTTAGAAATGCTGGGGCATGATCTATTAGCATGATAAAAGAGTGTTCTTTAGAAAGCAAAATAAAACAGAACACATGGCCTTCAGATTTTTTAAATTGGTTTTTATATTATCATTCATATACATTATGCTTTATTAATGTACATTGTGTTTCATGTAACTCATTTACATTTGTTGCAATCATGTACATTGTATTTATACATAATTCATGCACATTGTATTTCATGTAATTAATTACTATTGATCTATGTCTATTATCACCCCATCTTTTCAAGTCACTATTCACTGTCTTATTATTTCACAACCCTCATTTGTCCACTAACCATTCCTACTTTTCTGCTCCCTTCTCTTTCTCCCCTTCTCCTTTGAACATTGATACCTATCTTGCTCAGTTATCCTCCTATTTTCACAATAATAGTCTTATGCAGTATTTGTCCTTATGAGACTGAGTTATTTATTTCACTCAGCATAATGCTCTCTAGACTCTCCCATGATATATAGTATTTTACAAAATTATTGCTCCCTTAGTACTGCATAATATACTGTTGTGTGAGTGTTCCACAATTTCTCAATCCAATTGCTTATTGAGGGGCATTTGAGCTGTTTCCATTTTCTTGCTATTTTTAAAAGGTGCTGTGAACATAGGTGTACATATACCTGTTTATGTCTCAGTTCTGATTTCTTTGGGGTATATGCCTAGCAGCAAAATAGCTGCGTCATATGTGATTTTTATGTTCGGCTTTTTTGAGGAATCACCTAACTGTCTTCCAGAGTCATTGCATCATTTTACAGTCCCACCAGCAGTGCATGAACATTCCAATCTCTCTGCATCCTCTCCAACATTTATTGCTTACTTTCCTGTTAAAATTTGCTACTGCTACTTGGATGAGGTAGCATCTCACTGTTCTTTTGATTTGCATCTTTCTGATTTCCAGTGATTTTGAATGTTTCTTTATGTGTTGTTCATCAGAATGTCTTCTGTTGTCAAGAGTCTTTTCATATCTTTTGCCCTTCTTGTTATTGGGTTATCAGTCTTTTTCTTGTGAAGGTCCTGTTGTTGTTGTTGTTATGTGCCATTGAATTGCCTGCATCTCATAGTGATGCTGTATGTACAGCAGTTCTGAACCCTGCCCTGTCCTGAAACCGTCTCACTAATTCCGACACATCAACCCTCGCCCCCCGTGCCCCAGTTACTGTATCAATCCATCTCCTCTGGGACTTCCTCTCCTGGGCTGTCCCTCCACCCTTCCAAGCATGGAAGTCTTTATTTATTTTTTTTTAGCATGGAGTTCTTATAGTAAACTTTATTTATCAGACCCTAGTCTGAAATGTCAATACCAAATGTTTTTCCCAGTTTGTAGATTTCTTGTCAAGCTATTGGAAAAGGTTTTGATGGGGAATCCCATTTATCAATTTTATCCTCTCCTGGTTCTCCATTTTTTTCTTATATATGCAGGCCTTTTTATGCTATGGACCAGAGCTTCTAAGTCTGGTACCATTTTGTCTCTTATGATCCGTATGATTAGGGGCTTTACCCCTAGATCTCTGATCCACCTTGAGTTGATATTTGTGTATGTGTGAGATGTGGAGTCTGTTTTAGTTTTCTGAAAAACTGTATAGTTTTGACAGTACCATTTATTAAAGAAGTTATCATTTACTCACTTGATAAGTTTTGTATCTTGGTCAAATACCAATTGACTATAGGGAAAGGGTTTGATTTCTGGCTTCTTGATTCTGTCCCATTGGTCCAAGTGTCTGTTTTACTAATACCATCCTGTTTTGGTTATCGGGGCTGTGTAATAGGTTTTGAGATCAGGGAGTGCTTTGCCTCCCATTTCACTTTTATTTTTCAGAAGAGCTTTGCTTATTTGGTTTTCTTCCCCCCTTTTTAAATAAAACTACAAATTGCCTTTTCTATCTCAAGAATGAGTTTATTATCTGTATTGGGATTACATTGAACATGTGGTACATTGTTTTTTGTATGATTATCATTTTCACAATGTTGAGTCTTCTGATCTTGTATCCCCATCACTCTACTAAACTCATTTACTGGGTCTAACAATATTTTTTTGGGTCTTTGGAGTTTTTTGTGTACATTATCATATTATCTTGTATAGCAATAGTTTTACCACCTCTTTGCTGATTTGAATGACTCTTACTTCCTTCTCTTGTTTTATTATCACAGCAAGTATTTCCAATACAGTATTGAATAGGAGTGGTAATAGTGGGAATCCTTGCCTGGTCCCTATTCACAAGGGGGAATGCCTTTAGTTTTACTCCACTGACAATTAGGTTGGCTTTTGATTTTGCATATATTGGTGTTGTTATATGCCGTGGAGTAGCCTGTGAAGATGTGAAGGGTTATCCTGGTGGAGGGTGGAGCTGGGAAGTAAGTGGGTCAAGGCACTGGGCTAAGGGTGGGGTCAACACTATAACTAATGCTTAACTCCACAATAAGGGATTTATCTTTCACTGCTCCACAAATTGCTTGTATGTCAGATACTCCTCTAAATCTGAACATTCAGATTAAGA